CAACAGCAAGATCTTGACTATCAGTCCAACGCAAAATCTAGCCCGTCGCAATTTCAAACATCAGGATTTTTTTTTTGCCCCTTTTGAGAGAGAGAGAGAGAGAGACTGACCAAAAGCGTTGTTTTTATGCTTTCTCATCGTAAGCCCATTGATTTTGATAAGGAAATAGATAGCCCCAGTTTCTCAATGAACTACTTACGCTACCAGGTATAATCTCATTCCAAGATCCACTCCTTTTTGTGATTCCTTGTTTACTTTTGATTTTTTAAAGTTTGGGGGCGGAACCCTATTTTTGTGGTTTTTGGTCTGGCTTTTTCGATTTTCAATTATAATGGTTTCTCGCAATCTGTGGCTGTTTCCGTCGAAAGTCACCTTAGTCATTGATTTCATTAAACTTTAAGCGTTACAAATGAATTCAAATAACAAAAGAACAAAAGATTACAACTTTCTTGAAAATAAACACAAGATCCGTTTATCGGCTCTTGCTTGCGTGGGTTCTTTGCCGGTGCCGGGGTTAATCCGTGGACGACCGCGAATCAGATCCGGTTGATGGGAAATTGGGCAGAGCTTCTACCTCACCAAGGGGGTATTTGCTTGAAGTCCTGAAATCGACAAAGCGAAATCAGGGCTCTTCTCGAGGTTAAGACAAAGCCTAATCTAAAGGAACGGACGTACGGGCTTCAGATCCTTCGAACGGCTTCTCCTTTGTGCTGAAGTTCGTCGGGATCTCGCTGTCCTTTGCTGAAATTTCGTGCTCCTTCACTCTCCAATCCAGCAGCACCTCGTCCTCTTGATAAAATTCCAGATCCAGAAAATGGAGGCCTTTGGCTCATATTTATAGGCCTCAAAATGCGGTTATTTGGATAAGAACAAGGGATTTGGCTCTATCTTCAGTCAACAGCAGCCTAACAACGTTTGGGGGTGATCTCAAGTCAGTTAAGAACCCCTGGAACCGATAAACCCTGCAAAAAACCAACTTAAAACCGTCAAAACGTGTTTTGAAACATTAGACTGCGTGGCGGAACGATCTGACCCGCGCTCGCGCGGGTTGGAATAATCCGACCCGCGCTTGCGCGGGTCGGAATCATCCGACCCGCGCTTGTGCGGGTCGGATTAATCCGACCCGCACATGCGTGGGTCGGATTGATCCGACCTGCGCTTGCGCGGGTCGGATCATTCCGTCCTGCGCTTAGCGCGGGTTCGCCGACTTTTTCCCCTTTTTTGTTTCTTTCTTCCGAGACTTATTCTTGTCGCGTATTCGATAGATTTGTTGATTTGTATGTTTCGTCGTGAGACCAATCGTTGAACGTGCGTTGGTTAATGTACGCGTGCTGATCGATGAGCGTGTGCTGATTGACGTGCGCGCGTTGACCGGCGCGCACGAGGCGGTTTGTCGTGTGCGCGTTTGACCGGTGCGCCGAGGCGGTTTGTCGTGTGCGCGTTTGACCGGTGCGCACGAGTTAGTTGACGTGTGCGCGTTGACTGGCACGCACGAGGTGATTGACGTGCGTGCGTTGATCGGCGCACGAGTTTGTTGATGTGTGCTCGTTGACCAGCGCACACGAGATGATCTGACGTACGCGCGTTGACCGGCGCGCACGGGTTGAATGGCGTGAGTGCGCTGAGCGGCGTGCGCGAGCTGATTAGGTGAATCTCTTTGACTCGCCCGTTCATTGCTTCGGATTTTGTGCGGGCTCTCGTAGACAATTTTAGACGCCTACAGTGGCGATTTAATGTTTGTAGCTAGGGTCAAAGCTTGCACCCTTTGAATTATCATTGAAGCTCATACTTTGAGTCAATAAGTTTATGATGATGCATTAGTGTCACGAAATGTTAGAGGGTAGCTAACCATTGGGCAGACCATGTTGAGATCAGTGAAGTCTATACACATTCTGCACTTGTTAAGAGCCTTCTTCACCAGCACCACATTTGACAACCACTCTGGGTATTGAACTTCTCGGATGGAACCAACTTTAAGAAGTTGGTCTACCTCATCTGTGGCCGCCTTTTGTCTTTCTGGACCAAGGTGTTTTTTCTTTTGTCGAACCGGCTTAGTGTATCGGTCGACAAATAGTTCATGACTCGCCACTTCTGAGAGAATCCTTGGCATATCTTCTGGTCCCCAGATGAACACATCAAAATTTGCTAGTAGGAATGCCACGATATCTCCTCACTCGGGCTTAATGAGGCTGGATCCGATCTTGATTTTCTTCACTCCATCTTGGTCTATTAGTATCGCATGGAGCTCTTCGACGAGAGTCGTCTTCTCTCGCTCTAACACTTTCTCCATCTGGAGGCATGTCTTCTCAATGGGTAAGGTTTTTATTACTTATTTTCTCTTCATCGAGAGCAGATAGCAAGGTCTGGCCTCCTTCTGGTTGCTTCTGGCAATTCCAATACCCTCTAGAGTCGAAAACTTCACCATCTATTGGTAAGTGGAGGGGATGGCTCATAAATTATTGAGGGCAGTCCTTCCCATACTGACATTGTATGCTGATTTGAGATCCATTACTAGAAACTAGGTCAGAATAGTAGACTGGCGAGGGTGATCATCCCTTCTGGTAAAAGCGAATGCCTCGTGAATCCAATGAGATGCCCTTAATAAGGTTACAGCTGGGATTTATCGATACCCATCTGGTTGAAGGCATCCATGAACATGATGTCTGTAGAACTTCCTGTATCGACCAAAATCCTTTTGACATGAAAGCCACTGAGTCCGACCAAAATGATTATGGGATCATCATGAGGCATCTCGACACCTTGCAAATTCGAGTCACTGAAGGAGATGGGTTGATCGATCTTCGATTTCTTGTCACACAAATTTACTTGTAATGCTCGCTTGGTTTACTTCTTGCGAGCGTTGTTAGATTGCCCTCCAGCAGTGGGCACGCCACTGATAGTGTTAATGACTCCCTATTGCTGGACTCTGTTGGTCGAATTTCTGGTGGTTGCTTGGGGTGAGGTGACCTAGAACGGGACCTCCCGTCAGCTTCTCCCACAGCATGTTGTCTCCTGTCTCACTGGGAGATTAGCTTCTTCAAATATCCTCTTTGTATCATATCCTCAATATCTCTTTGAAGGACTCGCCAGTCATTAGTGAGATAGCAATGATCTCAATGATACCGACAGTAATGTCTGGTGTCTCGAGTCTGAGGATTCGACTTTATGCAAGAAGGGGGGAGATGAGATGCCCCTCCTTCTGGACCATGTAGAGGGCTTCGGTGAGAGAAGTGTTGAGGGCTGTGAGGATCGACTTCTGGAGGGGAATCCATTGTCGTGTTTTTCTAAGCAAGGGGTCGACCTCTCCTGCCAATCAAAGGCCAGTTTTGCTAAGGATGCTCCTGGCGCTACTGTCGCTATTACCCTGAGGGGGGTGAATAGGGTTATTGCTAATCTAATCCGATATTAATGCTAAATTAAAACTTATTAACTTATATCCTGACAAATATGAAATACAACAAGTTATATGAGCTAGGCTATGCAATGTAAATAAACGGCGATATAAACAAGAACAAATATGCAAATGAGATAGTGCGTAATAGATAATACAAACACACGATGTGATCACGGAGTTCGGTCACTCTCGACCTATGTCTCCACTCCCTACTCACGAGGAGAACACCACTATATCAAAAGATACTACACAACCGGTTTTCAACGTTCACCGACAAACGTTTACAACACTCACAATACAATCACACAACACACCCTCTAAGTGTTAGCCTAGCCCGTATTGCCTTCCTCAAGTGCTCGGATTTATAACCTCTCTAGGCTTTACTACCGACGCCACTCCTATTGGAATCGACCTCGTCTCTCACCATACACTCCTCTCGGTGTACTTGTGTATTACAAAGTGAACTCTCAACAATTAAGTACAAATAAAATAATTTGTTCTCCGATACAATTTGAGAACGAAATTAAGCTCACTCAATCGCACTCACAACCCAAATGAATTATATGTAAAAATACTCGAGCTTAAATATGGGCGTGTGTGAAATAACAAAAACTAAACATAGTATAAAATCTAGCTTAATAAAATTGATAATCAACAAATAAATGTATAAAATTAGAATTGAGTTTAGAGAAAATTTCTTTGAAAATAACAAGAGTGAAAGAGAAATGGAATTGAGGCTCAAACACGAAGGAATCAATCTTCTCCTCTTGTGAAAGTTTCTTCATAAAAACGAACTTTGAAAACACTTATAAACTCTTAAACAAACTTAAACCCTTGTTAAAATTATTTTTTAACTTTCTTAAGTGGCTAGAAATAGTTATGGCAAATGGGTATATATAGGGTAGAAGAAATCAGCCTAAGAAACCAACAAAATCCAATAAAAAACACAAAATCCAATAAAAAACACAAAATTCACAAATTCTGGAAAATAGCCATTACTATGCAACGGTCACATTATAAGTCGACTTATGACATGTATAAGTTGACTTATGTTTCATAAGCCGACATGTTTGAGTTATAAGTCGACTCAACAGACGAAAACATATAATTGCACAATATAACATGAGTCCTATCAGCTACTACTACTGCTTCTGCCTGTGCCTCCCTCGCTACCTTCTTATAGGCTTGAGCGTCTTCCATATCTATGTACTCATGTGCATTGGCCATCAGTTGCTTGTAGCTGGTAACTTATTTTTTGGAAAGTAAGTCAGCCAACTCATTGTCTTGTAGGCCAGCTATGACGACAGACATAGCGACCACGCTTCCAGTGTTGTCTACCTCTAACCTTTTGGTCTGAAATCTCTTGATATAGTCTCTCAGACTCTCTCCAGGCTCCTGTCTCATTTGTATCAATACATGAGGATACAACTTCTGGTTAGTGTCGACCAAATGATGAATAAACTTTTGGGTGAGCTGTTCAAAGCTGTTGATGGACTTTTTTGCCAGGGAAATCCACCAAAATTTGGCGCTTCCTGTCAATGTGATGGGAAAGCATTGCAAATAATTACTTCCGACACTTGCAACATGGTCATCATGTCATAGTAGTTCTAGACATGCTCAGCTGGATCTCCTTCATCCTTGTACTTCTCCACTTGCAGCATCTTAAATTTCTCGCAAGAGGCATTCATGATGTCATCGATGAGGGGGGTGTTTCCCCCAATGACCTCAGCTATTTGCTAAAAAGATCAATAGTAACTAGATGTCACATTTGTTGACGGGCCTGGAGTGGCATGATGATGCATAGGGCCTCGCGAGGCTCCTCCAGTAGCGTGCTCTCGATCATCATGACTAGGACTAGGGCTCTCTCCTAAGGCTTCTATAGACTGAGGATAGTTTCAGTGAGGATCTGCAAACCGAGCATGCTAGCATGGCTGAGGAGACATGTGCTCAACGTAGTCTCTATGATGATCCGATGGCGCGACATGTGCTGGCGTTAGAGGGACCAATGGTTGCCTTGCTAGTGGAGGATGGGCAGACAAGGGTTAGCTTGCTGAATATGGCGGATCCAGCAAAGAGAAAGAGGATGTATCCGGTTGAGGAGTTCGTTGGTGAACACCACAAACTGATGCTAGAAGGATTGGGTGATGCATTGAGCAGATTCCTCCAGCTAGGCTTGAGTAACATAGCCTGCACATGGTTCTTTAGGTGCTGGATGGACATGCCTACGCTCAGAACCAAACATCATGATCGAAGTAGAAAGAAGGCCCTACGGTGGGTGCCAAACTGTTAATGCCAGTTATCAAACAGGTGATAATCTACAAGTTCGTTGATTGATTAGAGTCTTCTCTCTCCTTCTAATGAATGGTTCCAGGAGACACTGTTCTACTTTGAACAAGAAAAAACTCGTAAGAGGCTAGAGTTGGGTTCTCCAGTGGTTCCTCCGACGATTAAGTCAGTAATTGATTTTGAGTGGAGGAGTATTAAGTTAGCTCTTAGTTATGTAAGAAAAAACAGAGAGAGTTATCTTATGTAGTGCCTCCCTTTTATAGTGGGTCTGAGGAGCAAGAAGGTAACTTGGGTCTAGTCCAACTAGGCAGCTGAGTCGGCAGACAGCTGATAGGTGTTGGCCGCTATAGAAGAGGGGCTATCCAGGTGGTTAATACCAAGCGACAACAGCTGCTTGGTGTTGATGGGACCTGATAAGTTATAAAGACTTTGTTGACTGGGGCAATAATGACTTTGTCAGGGAAGCTAATGCAAGGTGAGGGCGCTGTCGGCACATGGTTCGAGAAAACTACAAACTCTCTTAGTCATCCAACTGATAGTCAACTATACATGTTGATGGCTTAGGCCGAGAGGGGGTTATTCGTAGAGGTGATTAGCTAGGTTGGACGATAAGTACTATCTTTTGTCTCAGTTACGCGAGATGTCGGCCGAACAGTTGGTCGAGTCGGATTGCTCTAGGAATTAATTGAAGGATTGGCCGAGTAGTACCGCCTTTTATATCGGTTACGCGAGATGTCAGCCAAACAGTGAGTCAATTGAGGCTGAGATTATTTTGGTTTTGACTTAGTTGTATTAGGTATAGTGTAAGATACGTGTTGAGTGCTCTTTAGAGATTAAAGTTTAGTATTTTTAGGAGTATAACAGATATAGTTAAAGGACTCAATATACAGATCAACAGCTCAAGCAGTAAAAGTACTAATATGAACAATTCTGGAACTAGTATCAAACAACATTCGCGTATAACGAGTTAGATATAAGTCAGATATAATATGTGAAGCGGGCATTTGTCTTGATTTCATGATAGGAATACTACACCTTTTCAATCGAAGGAAAACTTATGAACATGTTATATGAGTGCAAAATAAGAACCTACTAAACCGACTACTGAAAGACAATAATACCTAGATGAAAAGCTTTTGCTCCCGACGAAGCATGTTACTTTACAAGTTAAAATTTTCAAAATAGGATGATGACTGATGAGTATGTGCATACATATTTAGCGAGTATAAATAATTAATTAAAGGATTTCTCTCCCCTTAAGGTGCACCATGATCCTATGATGTTGAAACTTATCAAGTAGTAGGCAAATATCTTCTCATCTGAATAGACAAAAATAATTATACCCAAGTCTGCATGCTCTTGACCGCTACCGAAGAAGAACTTTTTAGGTTAGGGTTTTAGAATAAGTGGGTTGTGGGTTTAAATCAGCTAAGAAACGAGTTGGTAGATTTTAAATGAGGATATAACGAGTTGACCCTCTGATTCCGCTAAAGATGACAAAATATTCCCCTTGAAGCTCATAACACCAAACTGGAGGGATAAAATTGCAAGAGGCATATAGATCAGAGAGACTAATGGCCAAGTAATGAGATATGAGGGACGAATTTACAATTATGGGTGTATAAGAGAGTAAAATGAAATCACCCCTTCTTTCTAATAAGTTCATATTTTGCAATAATTTAACGGGGAAAAAACGTGTTCATTTCAGCCCAATCCATGCTAGATCTCGCGCATGAGTCCAACACGAAATCTAGGCCATATAAATTTAGGGGTTGTTTGTTTGCCTAAAAAAAGAGGGAAATCAAAGAAATGGAAAACTATTTCTAAAAAAATTGTTTTGGGAATGTTTGGTTGGCTAAAAAAAAGAAGGAAATCAAAGAATTGGATATGAGATGATGTTAGTTGTCACCTTATTATTGGATGATGTGAGTGATTTTTTAAGAAAACTTGTTTTGATGTTGTTTGATTGGCCAAAAAAATAAGGAAATAAATTATAAGAAACCTATTTCCTGTAATAGGTTATTTTTTTTTGTTTGGTTCATTCTTAAAAATAAGAAAATAGATGAGATGAGATGAGTTGTCATTATATTATTGAATGATGTGACCCACACTTAAGGAAATCGTTTTCCTAGCTTCCTGGGAGGAAATGGGTGGAAGTAAAATGTTAATGAGATGAGATTAGCTTCTTGGGAGGAAATGAATGAAAATAAAATTTTAATGAGATAAGATGAGTTGTCACAATCTTATAGGATGACGTGAGTGATTTGAAATGATGAGATGAGATGAGTTGAGCGATGTTGTGGATGGAAATAATATTTTATTAGATGTGGTGGATGAGTTGTTAGATTAAAATAATATTTTATTAGATATTGTTGATGGGTTGTTGGATGAAAATAATATTTTATTAGATGTTGTGGGTGAATTTTAGGGATGAAAATGGATAAAATTGTATTTTTTGAGATTTCCAGCTTTTTATTTCCATTTCTTGGTCTTTAGAAAATCAACCAAACACACCCTTAGGGGGTTATTCATTGGGGTAATTGTTGGGATAATGGGATAATTTTTGAAACACTAATGTTTGGTGTTATTCATTGGGGTAATTGGAACTGGGGTAATATTTGTAGTGGTATTGGTTTGTTGGTGTAATTGGGAGACAAATACCCCACTTTCCCCCAAATTATCCCACCTATAAAAACCAAAGCTCAGCCCACCCTCAAAATTTACCCCCCTTCGTTTGCTGGAACAAATTACCCCACAACAAATTAACCCACTTCGTTCTCCACCGTTCTCAATGAAGACGACGATGTGAGCTTCTTCGTCATCGCCGCTAGGGTTATCGGAATCGACGCCGCCCTCGTTGATCTCTTCATCGCCCTCCTCGTCATCGCCGTCCTCTTCTTCGTCTCCCTCTTCTTCGCCGATGGCGGGAAAGTTGAAGCCGTCCTCGCCCTTATTAAAGCTGTCCTCAGCGGCGGACAAAAATCCCCGTTGTCTCCCCCCTTTACCTATCCACTTGATTAGGGTTCCGATTTCGGTCAGCCACGCGCTCAAGATCTCCCTATTTCCTCCTCATTTGATAGGGTTTGGGTTTTTATTGGGGATTTTGTCCTCAATTTCGATCATCCACGGCTCGAATTGAACCAGAGGCTTGGAGTTTCTGATTCTGGTCGATATTAGGAGCAGGGATGGAAGTTCATGGAGAAGGGGATCACCAAGCTGAAGAACATCTTGGAGGGGTTGCCGGAGCCTCAGTTCAGCTCTGAGGATTACACGATGCTCTACATGTAGGGTTTTTGATCTGTTGCCTGTGATGTTTTGCCCCTTTTGGTGATTTATCCTGATTTTAGCTTGCTTTTACTGTGGATATGCTGATGCTAACTTTGCTTGAAATGCTATGATATATTGCCAGATTTCTTGCTTGTGTGTCTTTGACTCTTTATGATGTTAAAACGTGTTAGCTCTTCATAATTTCTAGTCATTGTTAACCAGGCCTGAAAAAGGTCCCACGAGATGAACATAATGTATTCAAACTTCATTCCTTGCATCTCATTCATCATGGTTTGTTGCTCAGTTATCATGTTTCATATACCAACACCTGTCGTGTTGCAAGTAGAGTTCTATATGGTGAGAATGCCTATCACAGAAGAGATCAAATCCGTTGTGGTTAGTTATTCACCATTCGTTTTTGAGAGGAGGTGTAAAAGTACTGAATTGCTACAGAATTGTTACATTTCACTATAGTTGTTGATCTAGCATAATAGTTAAAATAAACATCAAAATATTTTAAGATTGATAAATATTAATATTATTATATTATTTTTAATATTTTATATTAAAACAATCTTAAGAATTAATATTATTTTATATTATAACTATTATTTATTTAATCATTTGATGTTATATCAAGTTAAACTTGAATTTAATTGAGCTATAAAAATAATATTATAAAAAGATGTCATACTAAAATTGTCCCACTCAAATTGTCCCATTACCCCATTTTACCCCACTTTATCCCACTCAATTATCCCATTGGGTAAAATTACCCCATTGGAACAAATTACCCCAAATTACACCAACAAATAACCCCCCTTAGGGTATTTTTATTTTGAGAGAGAGAGCGTCCGAGCATATATAGGGGATGGAAATGGATGAAATCGCAAGCCCGTTGGTTTTGATATGGAAAAGAGGGAGCCTCAGTTTCTCGATGAACTGCTTACGCCGTCAGGTATAATCTTATTCCGTGGTCTTTTTGTTCGTGATTCCGTGTTTACTTTGTTTTTTTTTGTTGTTGTGAGGCGGAACCCTACTTTTGGGAGTCGTGATCAGGGTTTTTTGATGTTCTATTTGACTGGTTTCTCGCTATATTGTGGAAATTTAGTCTGAATTGGAATTTGATTGAATTTGTAGCTACTAACTAACTAGAAGACCCTGCACCCATTGAATTATCATTTAAGTAAGTCTAGGATGATGCATGAGCGTCAAAAGACGCACAATTTATTATATTAAGGTAAGTATGTTCTATCATCCTTACTATCCCGTGAGCTGAAGCGAAAACTACTCGGTCTGGGAATTCAAATCTTAAGAAATAATTCGTGGATGGTTAAGTGGGTGGTAAGATTTGCAGGGCTAATGTTTTGACAAATCCTTCTGTAGCGGCACAAATTAAATCTTACAGTTTGGTCGCTCTTTTTTATAGCTTGATAATTTTGTTGCATGCTTTGTTTATTAATCTTGCTACTTTTGAGTTTTGAGGACCAACTTTGAGTCATTTTGGTATTGATGGTGAGGTATCTTCTTTATGACGGTAACGCCTCGTTTGGTACGCGGGAATGAGGAGGAATGGAATGCAATTCCCACTTCCCATTCCCTCATACCAAACACACCTATATTTTAGATGTTGGAATGACCATTCCCTAGGAATGATCATTCCCACTATTTGTGGGAATGAGCATTCCAAGTGAGAAGATAAGGAATGGTCATTCCCATTCAAGTGAGAATCAAAAACTAGTTAGGTATTTTTCAATTATATCCATATTAATAATAAAGAATGTTTGGGTGAGGCGCTATGCAAGTGGACAATTTTAGATTGACAATTTAGGCTAGTATATCATTTTGCTATTTCGAAACTTATTATTTTAGTTGGTATTGTTTTATGGATTTTTGCTATTATGAATTGAGTGATTTTGATACTTTATCAAATAAGTTAATTTATATATCTAGAACTGTGGATTGTGGATATCATTCTTTTTTTTGGGACCTATGAAAGATACGATAATCTTTTTTTATTTTCTTTAATTTTTAAGACTAAGAAATATCGAGTATTGTTTAAAAAATATAAACGAAACATACACCTGATGGATAACACGAGCATTAGTATAACACATACCTAGATTAATATAACATATGCGTATATAAAATTATTTAGTTATTATCATTAATGTTTATTTTTTATCTTATTAAAAATCTATGTTGTTGTAAGGGCATTATTAGAAAATGAGATTTCATTCTCACTTGTGTACTAGTGATACCAAACATGGGAATGGGAATGAGATTTCCATTCTAGCTTCATTCTACGAACGCACCCAAACAAGAGAATGAGAATGACCATTCCATTCCCACATGCAATCCATTCCATTCCTTCTTCCATTCCATTCCCAAGTCTGCCCATTCTCGCGTACCAAACGAGGCGTAAGTGTTCCCTTGGCGTGTTCGATGGTTTATTTAAGTTTTGGATGGTACAGGATGTTTTTTTTTGTTAGTAATTCCACTGCTGCAGCTGTTCTTGACAAGAATGAAACAACTTCATTTTCAGCTTGAAAATTGATATGATAGTTATGCTGGATGATCGACAAGAAATTATATCTGCTGTTGATGTTTGCTCTTTTTGCTACTGTACATGGTATCTGCTTTTGGCTGTAGTTTATGGTTTTCACAGCCATCATTTGTTCTTGTGGTGATACTACCCTTTGTTCCTCTTTTTTCTTTCTTCCTTTGCGTGAGCAAGATTTCTGATGGTTGCGAGTTGGAACTCGGATCTTAGTGTGCTCTAGTTTGTGACTGAACTTACCATGATTACTATAAAATCATTTGTTCTTTATGGCCTTTATTCTATACAAATGAGTTGACCTGATTATGGCATTATCACTGCTGGCTATAAAATCTTCAAAATGAAGGCAGTGCTTTAAGCATTTATTTCAATGGAATGTGATATCAGAGGTCAAAACTGAATTTTTGATGTATTGCCTTGTCGAACAGGCAAAGTGGCATCTTTTGTTGAATTTTGCGTCCGTTGTGCTTGGCAGTTCTTGTTGTTGTATGTGTTTTTGCAAGATGTGCAACACAACATTTCAGCTCAGGGGATGTGGTAGTGGAGATGATTAAACAAACATTGTGATGGGTTTGCATTTAATTGATAATAAAGGAGTATATGCCTGTTATCTTTATTGACTTGACTATTGTGCTGCCTATGAATTTTTTAATTGTCAATGAGCTAGCCTTATTTTCTTTCTTTTGTGTTACATAATTTTGGCCTTTGCTACTTCTCAAATTTTGGAATAAAAAATAAAAAATAGCAATCACTGCTAATACTTTTCTCTTCTGATTTAAAGCACCGTTCTAATTGAAAATGAGGTATACACGTGTTTTTATTGTCTTTGCTAATACAAGAACAACCACATTCTGGATTTCTAGTCTAGTGGCAGTTGCTATTTCATGTGAAATGGCATCTCCTAGGGGTCATTTTTAAGATTTGAAAATTTTGAATATATAATAAGATCTGCAGCATGAAAATTTATGACCTTTTGAATGCATCTTAAAAAACCCTGCCAAGGGAGAACAATGATCTATTCTCTACTAGATTTATGTGCACTTGTTGGAGTATGACTGGAAGAAAAAGGAATTTTCTACTATGGTTATACTTATATCACATATGGGCTCATTAAAGTAGCAAGGGAAGGTAAAATACTACTGCTTGAGGTCCAAATTGAGGACTTCAGTAAAGGAGAAACCAAAGTAATATTTAAAAGTTTTGGGACCGTAGAAGTTTATTGCCCTCATTCATGGGACATCGTCAGACGTAGGACTTAGGAACACTGAGTCTAATTTTAAGTTGGAATGAGAAACACATATGGGGGATGTGAATGTTAGGTTGAGACACGTTGCTATTTGCCTTCTGATGTAATGGAGATTGTCAAGATGAGTGTGGTGGAAATTTAGCTGCGTGTGTAGCCATTTTAGCTTTGAAAGAGAAAAAGCAGGAAACATTGCAGGTAAGATGGAAAAGAAGAATGAAAGTGTAAAAAGTGCACCAGAAACCGTGTTATGATGACATAGCTAATTCTGCGTTTGACTTCATTGTATTCTTTATTGGCTTCCACAGTTGCGGTGTGGACCTAAATGGGATATTGAGCTTGTTCTAGTGTAGCATGGATAATCTGTAGGGTCAAATTAATTGGCGAGAGAAATGAATCTCTCTTTTCTTCTTCTTTCATATCTCTATTTTTTCTTTTTTCTTTTTCGTCTTTGTTTTTTTTTTTCAAAATTGGTATATATGAGAAAATTGTTATGCTAACATTCTGGTTATTGTTTTAGGTTTAGCTTGCTCAGTATCTTTCCAAGCACAAAGTTTTCTGGCTCTTGTGCTGACAGAGATTGTACCTTATTGTACGGAAATAGGCTTTACAGCGAGAAGCTTACTGAAATGAATTATTTGTTTATCAGTGTTTATTTCTTTGATTTTCTGTTCAAATATGGAATGAATGAATGTAGAGGCATCAGTTAACAGTGGAAAAGCTGTTGATGAAGTCGAGAGGACACGGGCAGCAATGTCTGCTGGTGCATATGCTGGCTGTCCCATGGCGTCACAACAGTACAGCATGGAACTACTCCGTCCAGGTTCGGCAGTATGATGAGATTTGATGATTGTAAAGCTAGATCTCATTTTCCGGAGAAGCATATTTCAAGGAACTATCTAAGTTTATGAAAGGCGAGTTTCCCCAGCGAGAGTATTTTGTCAGGATGATGATTAGAATGATTTTCCAGGGAACATCACTAGTCTGGTCCAAGGTGATTTTCAGATGGCGAATAATTTCTGGAATTACACAGTCAGAATTGGAAATTCATTGTTTGATTGTGTGCACATGATATACTTTGCTAGAGAAACAGGGTCCAGCAAGCACATTGTGTGGATTGACATTGATGGCATGTGCTTCTTTCCGGAGCTCTAGGCTCCCTGGGAGTACCTTGACTGACAAAAGGCAAACATGTCAACATGCCTTGTGAGCCAAATAGAACACCCAAAATCAATGCTCACTTAGATTTTCTGTTAATGCTGCTGGAAGCTTGAACTCTGGTGATGAGGAAGTTTCCTGTAATGTTAAGAGGATTAGAAGTGTTATCAATAATAGTAGCTCATGATGTGTCTGATAACAAGAATGGCACATGCATATGAATGTTCGGATCTAACAGGAATACATTGTGGCTATTATAACAACTCCGAAAGCATAGGTGATTGTGGTGGGCTAAGCTTTCTGGTTGTTTCTATGCTTGATCATTATTTTTAAGCCAATATTTTAGATGTTGATGCTTCTTTTTAAAAATATTTCTGCAGAAATTTGGTTGGAAAAAAAATAAGCATTTCTAATGCATTTCTTACCACATTTCTGGCCTATTGTGTAGCTTATTGCAGTTAGGCACTTTATTGCACTTTCTTTCTGAGCATTATTTTGCTTTGCTAAATTGCTAGTGCATTTAAATGGCACATAACTGCTGTAGAGTAATTCAGATGAGGACCATGTCGTTTCTGTTCCAATGTTAAGCTCTACTTGTGACACAGTGTATTATCCAACCACATTTGGCTATCCAACTAGTATTTATTACTGTTTGTCTTTGGTTTATGCTGTCTAGAGGATGACATATGGCCATACATTATGCCAGTTTGGATCTAGAAAGGCTGAATTTCTAGGAATTTTGGTGATCCTGGTTGTAGCAGTAGTCATTGTGCATTGACCTTGCCACAGGTTTAGGTTAAATCAACTTATCTCTACATGTTAACTCATTTTATTTCTTGCTAGTTAAGATGTAATTGTCTTGATGCTGATGTTCAATTTTTTTTCATGTCAGGAGGGTTATCCCTCTCCAGATATGGCCAATCAATCGCAGTAAAGAGCTCCAATGTCCAAAAGAGCTCCCAGAACTCTGATGTCACCTTGGACGCCTTTTTCGATATTGTGTGCTGCAATTTCAATCCAAAAGTATCTTACCTCGATGAATTTGGTTAACATTCATTGAGAAGAATTCGGTATCTACTTATCCTTTTGGCCTTCAGCCTCCTGTTACCTTATGAACAATTTGGTATCCTTTCTCGACTTCTGCTACTTTTTTTCCAACAGAGAAGAAACAAAACTAGATTGGCCTGGTGAAAAAATTGGGGCAAGTAATCGGGGACAAACTGTTGGTATCTACATTCTACAATAAGGATACTTCAGCACCAGGTCATATTCTTCTGTTATTATAATATAAACTGTTACGGCTGTTGTTTTTGTCTCGCAATACAAAGATCAATGATTGAATGGTTTACCTCTATCTCCTCAAGTTGCTTGTCAGGTTCAATGAGTCTAGACCGTCTGTCTGCTTTGGAGCCTACTCAGCCTATTTAGCTGTTCACGTCCTTGCTGCCCTCAACTCCTTAGGTAAATCAAGTCAAATATATTTAGTCCTATTTATTATGTTCCATAACATAAATGCATCAGATCTCTTCAAACACGCACAACTTATATTATGTTTAAGTTGCATGTTGGTAATATGAGACCTCCCTAGGAGGAATGGCTATACGTTCATTGATATATGTTTCTAGTCTAGCTTTGGGGAGTGCTCAAGTATATGAGACTTCCTTTTATTTTCTGTTCATGTATCCTTTATCATAAAATTAGTATTGCCCTTTATTTATTGTGTAAATCTGTATTTGTTGAACTTCATTGATGGAGAATATCCACAATATTACGGAAACACCAAGATACATGGAAGTACTAGTGACAACTTCTGACAGAGCCAAATTCAAAACCAAATATCCAATGTTTAGTTCCTGGACATTCTTAAAATCTACCAACTATTTTCAAGATGACACATCTTTTTCTCCATCTGAAACCATCACCTGCTAAGTAATAGATGCATTCTATGATTTGAGGCTTGGTTGCAGAGCTTCACGTACCATGCGTGCCACCTTGGTACCTGCAAAATACATTATTTTCCAACATTCAGCAATTGAAAAGGCTCTTTTAACCTTTCAATTTTTGACCACACTGTGTTTAACATTGGAAGGAAAACATTGAATAAAAGTCCCACTCATCAATCAGAAAAGGCTAGAATTACTATCAGTTCTTGAGGTTTTCCTGATATAAAAATGCTAAAATAATAATGCATCTGAAATTAAAACTATTGAATAAATGTTTGTACCCACTGCAAAAAGATTGAATCTTAATGCAGCTTTTCAGACCAAACCCCAATTTGGGAGTAGATGAACCGTATGAGGAATGCATTCCCCTAAATGCTCCAGAATAGGACCGTCATTTGGTATCTTCGTTAGGTCATTTGGTATCTTCGTTAGGACAGGATCGTGAGAATCACCTTCAATTATGAGAAAGCAATCATCAACCAAAACAAAAAATTCATTCTTGCTGCTCTTAAACGGCATTAGGCGTGGTACATTCACATCGAATGACATTCTTCCTTTCACGGCCCCTGTGTGTAAACTTCACAGTGCACTCCTCCCATCCATTATCTTTCAATGAATTGCATATTATATTGTCCTTATCGACAAGAACACAACATAGCTTCCCGGTAGCAGATCTTATCTCCCACTCCCCTTCAAAATTTGGCTTTCGTAAAACTCTAAAAGACTCATCCATGATACAATAGAATAAGATTCTTGTCTTATAGATCCCTCTCTCCATAGTTCCAATCTTCCAGCATACGCCTTCATTGAAAACTACATGTGAATTCGGTATGATTTGGGCGTCTTCCACAATATTGAGATGGCTCTTTCTCTATGCATCTGTCAATAAAGAATATGAATCTAAAACAAATTCACCCACTCCAGTCCTCGACAAAAAGAAAACAAGAGTTTCCACCCCCTTCTTCATTATAAGGGCATTAGAATTCGCTGGACCAGATATGCGAGTGATTCTCCTAATGTTGGGTGTCCAAATACAGTAATTTGCATCGACAAACTCACAAGAAGATAGCACAAGCCCCTCGTCTGTGGATCCAATAACATTTGTTGCACAGGCCGACATCTCCACTCTGTAATGTCCAACTTATTGAACACCCTCTTGCTCCTGGAAGCAAAAGTATAATGTATTTACATCGGGAAGCCTAAACGAAAATCCAACAAGAACCATTTTCTTCAAATTTGCTTGGTTCTTGAACCTCTGCTTAGATCTTGAACCTCTACTTTATCAAGAACTGTAAAGGAGGAAGTTCTTGAGTTGATGAGGAATTGGGGAGAGGGGGTAGGAAGAGGAAGGATGGGTTAGTTGTTGAGGAATATGGGGCACAAAGAGAGAAGACAAAGAGGAGGTTCGTTGAAGGTTAAAGAACATTGTGAGGGCAATGAGAGAAGAAAGAGATATTAAGAAAGAGTAAGAAATAGGACGTGTAGATTTCTATGCACCTAGAATAATGTGTTTACTCTGAAGAGAAGACACTTAAATGTGGATATGCAACAGAGCTCTGGCACACTACAGTTGCATCCCAGAATTTGAGCAAATTTTTAACTACAATTTTATAGCTTGATAAGACACCCGAAGTCATCTAACTCTAGGTTGTCAGGAATCAGAATCAGACCATCAGACCTTATCATGCATCTTTTTTGGATGTTAAATATACAGCAACGAGTCTCATACCCTGCTACTATTCCCATTTGACATCATACTGAATAGGTCTCATATTACTAACATGCAACTTGTAATGAAATTTCAGCAACCAAATTATACCAAAAGATATTAATTTAAAAAATATGATTGAATATGCCAGATAAAATACCAAAGTACATATTCTCCATCAATGAAGTTCAACAAATACAGATTGACACAAGAAATGAAGGGCAATACTAATTTTATGATAAATGATACATGAACAGAAAATAAAAGGAAGTCTCATATACTTGAGCACTCCCCAAAGCTAGACTAGAAACATATATCAATGAACGTATAGCCATTCCTCCTAGGGAGGTCTCATATTACCAACATGCAACTTGTAATGAAATTTTAGCAACCAAATACCAAAAGATACTAATTTCAAAAATATGATTGACTATGCCAGATAAAATGCCAAAATACATATTCTCCATCAATGAAGTTCCACAAATACAGATTTACACAAGAAATGAAGGGCAATACTAATTTTATGATAAAGGATACATGAACAGAAAATAAATGGAAGTCTCATATACTTGAGCACTCCCCAAAGCTAGACTAGAAAGATATATCAATGAACGGTATAGGCCCTGCGACATTCATTAATAGGAAAGAATAGTAAGCAGGGTTATGAAAGACTCGTTGCATGCATATTTAAACATGTCCAAAAAGAGATGCAACATAAGGTCTGATGGTTTGATTCTGATTTCTAACAACCTAGAGTTAGATGACTTTGGGTGTCTTATCAAGCCATAAAATTACAGTTAAAAGTTTGCTCAAGTTCTGGGATGCAACTGTACTGTGCCAGAGCTCTGTTGCATATCCACATTTAAGTGTCTTCTCTCCAGAGTAAACACATTATTCTAGGTGCATAGAAATCTACACATCCTATTTCTTACTTTTTCTCAATATATCTTTTTTCTCTCATTGCCCTCACAGTGTTCTTTAACCTTCAACGAACCTCCTCTTTGTCTTCTCTCTTTGTGCCCCCTATTCCTCAACAACTAACCCCTCCTTCCTCTTCCTACCCCCTCCCCCCAATTCCTCATCAACTCAAGAACCTCCTCCTTTACAATTCTTGATAAAGCAGAGGTTCAAGATCTAAGTAGAGGTTCAAGAACCAAGCAAATTTGAAGAAAATGGCTCCTGTTGGATTTTCGTTTAGGCTTCCCGATGGAAATACATTATACTTTTGCTTCCAGGAGCAAGATGGTTCAATAAGTTGGACATTACAGAGTGGAGATGCCGGCCTGTGCAACAAATGTTATTGGATCCACAGACGAGGGACTTGTGCTATCTTCTTGTGAGTTTGCCGATGCAAATTACTGCATTTGGACACCCAACATTAGAGGAATCACTCGCATATCTGGTCCAACGAATTCTAATGCCCTTATAATGAAGAAGGGGGTGGAAAATCTTGTTTTCTTTCTGTCGAGGACTGAAGTGGGTGAATTTGTTTTAGATTCATATTCTTTGTTGACAGATGCATGGAGAAAAAACCATCTCAATATTGTAGAAGACGCCCAAATCATACCGAATTCACATGTAGTTTTCAATGAAGGCGTATGCTGGAAGATTGGATCTCTGGGGAGAGGGGGCTATAAGACTAGAATCTTATTCTATTGTATCAAGGATGAGTATTTTAGAGTTTTACGAAAGCCAAATTTTGAAGGAGAGTGAGAGATAGGATCTGCTGTCGGGAAACTATGCTGTGTTCTTGTCGACAGGGACAATATAATATGCAATTCATTGAAAGATAATGGATGGGAGGAGGAGTGCACTGTGAAGTTTACACACATGGGCCGTGAAAGGAAGAATGTCATTCAACGATGCGAATGCACCACACACAATACCGTTTAAGAGCAGCAAAAATGAATTTCTTGTTTTGGTTGATGATTGCTTTCTCATAATTGAACGTGATTTTCACGATCCTGTCTTAAAGAAGATACCAAATGACCTAACGAAGATTCCAAATGACGGTCCTCTTCCAGAGCATTTAGAGGAATGCATTCCTCATACGGTTCATCTACCCCCAGATTGGGGTCTGGTCTGAAAAGCTACATTAAGATTCAATCTTTTTTGCGGTGGATATAAACATTTATTTAGTAGTTTTAATTTTAGATGTATTGTTATTTTAGCATTTTTATATCAGGAAAACCTCAAGAACTGGCAGTAATTCTAGATTCTAGCCTTTTCTGATTGATGAGTGGGACTTTTATTCAATATTTTCCTTCCAATGTTAAACTCAGTGTGGTCGAATATTGAAAGGTTAAAAGGGCCTTTTCAATTGCTGAATGTTGGAAAATAATGTATTTTGCAGGTATCGAGGTGGCACACATGGTACGTGAAGCTCTGCAACCAAGCCTCAAATCATAGAATGCATCTATTACTTAGCAGCTGATGGTTTCAGATGGAGAAAAAGATGTGCCATCTTGAAAATAGTTGGTAGATTTTAAGAATGTCCAGGAACTGACATTAGATATTTGGTTTTGAATTTGGCTCTGTCAGAAATTGTCACTAGTACTTCCATGTATCTTGGTGTTCCCGTAATATTGTGGATTTTTTTTGTATTTGATGTTTTGCTTTATATATGCACAGACGATATTCTGCTTGGTTGTTGTGAATCTATTTTGAAGATAATGAGGTTCGCAAACTGATTCTTCTTCGTTATAACAGATTCTCTTCTTTGCATCTGTTGAGTGAGTGCAGAATGAATATACTGTAATTACTAGATTAATCCTATTCCTTGTAATATTCTTCTTTGTTCTGTAATTTTTAGATTTGATTCTGCTCTTCGGATCCATCTTTAGTGCTAGTTTTCATGGTTTGTTTTGTTGGCGACATTCTTTGTACCTCTTGGATTGATTTTATTCCTTGAAGATCAGCTGTTGTGCTTGGTTGTTGCGGTTAAAGCTAGTTTTCGTGATAACATTGATTTGAATCATCAGATTGTAACCAGAGGAATTGTTGATCCTGCTGAGGAATTTTGGGAAGACAAAAGGAATCCAGTGATCTACTGAAATCCTAAAAACTGGTATGTAACTAATAAGTTCGTAGTAGTACTTGAGGTTCTCTTGGTTGCGGGCTCCTTACTCGACTATTGGGGCATTCTCGCGTTCTCTCTCTTTCTCGCCGCTTGTCGTTCCGTGCGATTATAGGGTTTTGAATCGATCGATTTCTTGCCTCTTTCAATTATTTCATTCTTGCAGGTCAACGATTGCAGGGTTAGGGTTTCCAAGCTTTCGAAATTCATTCAATTTCTGGCCTCTTTCAGTTTCCAAGGTTTCGAAGTTCATCCAGTTTCTTGCCTCTTTCAATGATTTATTGCTTTCTTGCAACGGTTATGGTCTCGAATCAATTCATGTCATTACTTGCCTTTTTCAGTATTTACTTCACTCTTCTTTATGATTTTTTTGTGTGGAGAAGTCTTCTTTGTGATTCTTGGGCGATGCTGATCATCTCCTAATCCCGAGATCGAGGTTCAAAGGCGCGGTTGAGTTCAAGGAGACAGGCGATTCTTGCAATGGGCGTGGGAGAGATCAGAAAGAAGGTTCGTTGTTAATTTCTTGATAAAAATTTAGCTCTTTCAGTATTTAGTACTTTTTTTTGTGCGTGTTTTTTCAGATATCATTGTTAGATATCTTTCTGCTGGTAGGAAATTTCATTAAAAAAATATTATTCTGGTTATTCGAAGGATTGATGTTTTTATTTGTATGAAAAGTTTATCTTTATGGTTTTCGTGATGCCTATGTCAATATTACTCCCTCAAATCATTGAAGTATGAACTTAACTCATCAAATCTTAAACTATGTTGAAAATAGTTCTCATATGCCTGGGAAAAAAAGAATCAATCAGTCAAAAAGGTTTCTTTTATCTCCCAGAGATATGCCCAATATATTTTTGAGGAGATCTCCCCATATGCCCAATTGATATCCGATATTTAATTTTTCTTTCAAAATTAAAAATCAGTACTGCTAAGAACTTAACTTTGTTAAGGACTAGAAGTTAACAAGAACTTATCATATTAAAATTCAAATCAAGTGGACCACTTTGAAATTTCCAGCTGATTATGTTATCTCTAGCTCTCTCATGGCCACCTTTTATCTAAATTTATCCTACAAATCCTTCAACCTTTTTTGTTTAATCTTCCAAGGCCTCTACCTCTCCTTGTTCTTTGACTCCAGACATAAACCAATAATTTCAAATTTCCAAGCCTCCTAAAAGATTAGCTAACTTGGTCACCTAAATTCGGAATGTGTCAAAATATAGCATCTAAAGATCCAACTCAACTGCATGAATAGTAGAAGAGTATCTAGAGACTAGAGCTGATTATGGGAACACACCTAGTTGAAGTTACTTGAGCTGATATACTATGTCAGTTTGCTATTTGAGTTCAGATTTCTGTAAAACTCAGTAGAGGTGACATGTTCTGGACAGGGCATATACGACCTTAGCCTTAATGATTCTTGGTAGCAGAAACTTCTTTAGATGGAACCGGCCCTTGGTTAGAAATCACTTATATAGACTACATAACTATCATATTTGACCTTGATGTGATATGCTTTTTCTGCTATATGTCAATTAATGAATATAGGATTCACATATGTCCTAGAGTGCTGAGTCTACGACACCAATAACACCATGTAGACTGTGGTTTGACATCATCACAAGATGGTTCACTATACAAACTTGAAAGTAGACTTTAACAGGTGCTTGGTGATAATGCACACTGACACGGAATTGATGTTTTTTTTTTCCAGTTTGGCAAGCTTAATCAGCTTCCTTGGAGAACTTCAACTTTTTGGCACTTAAGCATGAAAGATCATATAAATTTTTAGAACTTTATAATACATCTAAGTAGGGGTGCTAAACCGTATCCGTATCTGAAGAAATATCCGTAACCGTATCCGTTAGGATACAGATATGGTTACTCAAATCTATAACCGATAGAATATGGTTATGGATATGGTTTTATAGTGAAATATCCGTTTCCGTATTCGAAATATCCGAATACATATTAGTCATACTTTTACGATAGTTTCGATTCTTAGATTATGGATTTATGGTTAATTTTGATGATTAAGATGTTTAATCTCAACTTTTCAGTTGTAATGAACATATTAACGAACTCTTTTGTATCACATGAACTATGTTTTTCTTAATACTATTTAGCTTTCTCATCTCCGTTTTGTATCTGCATGCATATCCGCTTATATATCCGCATGTATATCCGTAACCATATTAAATTTTAGCAGATATGGATATAAATATTCCTTACCGAGATATATCTATATCCGTATCCGTATTCGAGATGAGTAAGCGGATATGGATATGGTAGGCCTCATATCCGAGCCGCATCCGGACTGAATGCACCCCTACATCTAAGTGATATAATTTCATGTGGTATCAAGATCTGGAATGTACCCCAGATAACTTGGATATTATAGGGAGCCAAAATTTTAGGGTAATGGGTTTATAGTTATTATCTAGTTGCAATGTTTCAAAATTTTGATAGCTGGAGCTGCCTAGGATCGATTTGTCTAATTCAATATTCACTAGACCCTATGTCTTTTTGAGGTTCTTGTTAACATTAGGGTACGTTTGATAACTCTACAAAGGTTGTTTTAGTTGGTACAACGTCGGTCCAAAACATTGTTACTAGTTTGGTAAATATTGGGCCCAAGTTGAACTAGTTATTCCTAGTTCAAATTCTAGCCCCTAAACTATTTTTTTGCAGACCAACTCCCACATGGACCAACTCTAGCCTAGATAAGGGGTAGGGAGTTTTATTTCGGAGTTGCCAAAGCCAAACACACCCTTAGTGACTGAAAGTACTACATTCTAAGTCTAATTCTATTACTTTTTACACTCTAAACTTGGGTTGGAGATGTAAGCCAAACACAAGTTTCATTTTCTTGTGTATAATAATCCTTTCAAGTTCTCTATCTTGTTTTGAAAGGTTTTTACCTTTACTCATTTTTATCATCTCTACTCGAATATACCACTACTTGATCTTGGTCTTTCTTGTTTCCATTCTAAAGAATATATTTGGAATATTGAGGCCATATTACTTCCTGTTGTTCTAAGTCCAGTTGAAAGGATTCTTTTGCTTGTAAATCCACTCCCTAAAGATTTGTGTCATCAAAGTGTCTTGGAATTATATTATAAGCCCTGAATGCTTGATCTAGGTTTATTACTGATGTTACTGATTTAGGTTACCATCACAAATCTTGTCTTTGGTAGTGTTATCAGTGTATGATAGTATGCATTATCCACATAATTCTCCCAACCCTCCCCACACCCCGCCAAAAAAACCTGTGGTACTGTATGATAATAATGTGATTCAAGATGAATGGTGTGGAGCACCTATCAGGTGGTCCACCATGTATTTTATTAACAAGAACACTCTAAAATTACTCTTAAGTAATGGATAGATTCAGAAAATCTCCTTTTGTTTATTAGTTGATCAATAATCCCCCCTAATCTAACGCCC